TGCAGCACTCGCCGCTGGTATCTCCACTTCTTATGTGGTCGATACTTCCAACATCGAGATTCTAGTGGACAGTCCATATTGCCGACAGATCAATCTCACCACATTCTTCCTAGGGGCTCGATCCGGAATCAATCCTAATTGGGAAAAGCTGAACAAAATGGTTGAGACCTACACTTTGAACTGCTACGGTAACACTTCAGACATTCCAGCAGTGTGCAAAAATACATTCACTAAGCCGAGGATTACGTTCAAGAAAGAACCCGCTCCCTGTCCCTGGAATTCAACAATGTGTCTACGCGGAGATACGCCAGCCATAGCGATGGATAGTGGGCTTTTGGACATGAATAAGTGGTTTGGAATCAATTTACAAAAGAAAGACGGCGTGCGCTACCGCAAGAGAACGACTTGTAATCCGTTGCCCCTAGATGGGCATTACGATATTATGCCTATGTCGGACCTAGAAAAAATCATGGTAGACCCCCCGCGACTGGGGGAAGAAGCATTGGGAGTTCGTTTAGGAAGGATGGACTTCCCTGAAGATGAGTTCCCTGAATATCCTTACATTCAAAACTTGGCACAATCCAATTACACTGAACAATTTACCGGCAGGTAAGACATTAAGCTCACGGGGATTGCCCTATACTAATTCGGTCAAAGGGCTCGGATCGACTATGCGAGGCCTGATGAGGCTCTAGCTACAAATTCTTACATAGCAATGCCAGAGATGACTCGAGCGGATGCAGATACAGTGGTCGGCGTGGTCTGGCTCAACAGCGTCCACTACGACGCTCCTGTGGAAGATCCACTATTCGCAAGCCACAAAACAACATACTCACTGTTCAACGGACGGAATCTCACAAGATATCATCCAGACCAACCTTTTGGGGCAATTGGTTGTTCGGAGCAGGTATATTGCCTCTCTTCTCCAACTATTAATGCCGTTCTAAGTGTGAACGCAGTATCAATTTTGCCTTGCTCAAAGTGGCAAAGAGGATTTCTGTACTGATCTGACCAGCCTGCCGTTGACTCCCACACAAGCGGACTTTCCTACAGCTAGCGACATTCAACTTGCTGTAATGCGTCTCTTGAGATGGCTAAGCGCATTCAATGACATCTCGAACGGACTCATTCTAAAACTGATTGATGCAAACGACATAGTGTCGACACCAAACAGGCGGGAAATCCCCTCTGATCAATGGATCAATGAGATCACATTCTGGCAATCATATGTATATGCCGGATTGCAGACAATGCTCGCAGACGTTGCAGTCGGTCCCATCAGGCGAGATGCTGATGCAGACCAGTACACGGATCCCCCTATAACTCCGGGGGAGAAGATGCTCTGCAAGTCGATGAAGATGCGCAAGTCCGGTGGCTTCTCGTAAGTTCAATTCGCCCTTCAACGGAATTGCCTACTAATCAATCGATTTCAGCAATATCAATGTGTTCGGCTTAGCCTTCATCACCACCTTTTCGACCGTCATAACTTTGCTCAATCTTATGATCCTTCGTTTTGTTCTCTGGATGAGCAAATTCCGCCGTGCCCTTGCCCCGCGCATCGAACGCTGGGCACAAGATGGCCTCTTCCAGCTTCAGCGTCGCGCGTTCGATGCCCATGGCGAAGGTACGTGGGCCGGCCTTGAAAAGGAGATCCCCTCCACATCTCCAAAGCAAATTCTCGAAGAGTTGCCCATCGAGTCGCTGCCGATATGGCGGCCAAAACATATAAACAAAAAGTATGGCGATGATGAAAAAAGGTTTGATGATTTTGATGAGAAGAAAGGTGATGATGAGCAGGAGTTTGAACCAAAGCCTTTGACAAGAGTGTTTTCGGATGGTGAGACATTGCATAACGTTGACACGCAGAGTAGTTGGGGCAAGGGCAAAGAAGAATTCGGAAAGCCGAAACGGACGCTTACTGAGAGTTCTGGGCCACAGTCTTCGATTGATGATGAAATACAGTCTATCAGTAATGAAAACCGCAACACTTAATTCAATTGTACCGCGATGATAGGCTGTATCACGGTCGCTAAGATAAAGATATTATAGCGCTGGTTTGCTTTTACTAGAGGATTTTCTCCAAAGAGAGTTGGTCAGGCAGGATTCTTGACGACGGACATAGTCTACAGTCGCTATTATGTACTTTTATTGTAACGGTCGCCTTGAGAAAAGCATCCTCTCATTAAACTCTAGTATACTAAATCTATTTCATTAGCAATAGATGCCTACTTTGCTATGTAATCCACAATGAAAGTACTTGCAAGCCACCGATTAGCATCTAGGCATCCGGCTGCTACCTTAGGGATCGCTAGCTCGGCCACCCCAGAAAGAGGTACGACACCACATTCTCTGGACTAGAATATGCACGATAGCGGCCTTGAGATGCCTTATCTTCGAACAGCCGCAACCGCAAGCAAGGTATGACTAGATACGGTGGCAGAGATTCTATGTCAGCTACCTAGTCAAACATCTCGTACAAATTCTAAGCAACAAAATATAGAATTTAACTGAAGATTAAGCCAGAATAATAGTTGAAGAACATCTAGAGCGATGTTGGACAGATGTATCTGTGCCTGAAATATAAAAATTTGAGAGTAGGACAGGCGAAGCTTAACTATGAGTCGATATTTTTAGTTGGAAACGATATAATTAGATGACGAATGTCTCTTTGTATATATAATGTGAAGTAGTATAGTAGTGAGTCATGTTATCCGGTATACCGCTATAATGACTTGTCTTGCGATAGCCAGCAAGAACTCTTCGGCAAATGCACCATCGATACCCAGTGCTTTGGACACACAATGGAATGCTACACGGCCCTGTGGGCCCATTAGAGATTTGGGATTAGGTGATGAATCCCATATCTCACGATCTCTAACAGCGAATGCTCAATACAATATTCTTACGAGATTATGTATATTCATTTGAACTCTTTCGACCTCAACTATGAATTTTTTTCATGCGAGACGCCAACTGATCGACGCTATAAGGGATCATTCAATCACTTCCAACAAAACTAACGAATCGATGTATAAAAAGATCGAAAATGGGAAACTATAGGTCGTGATCTAACGCATTGTAGTTTAGGCTTGCAGTTCAAAGTAGAAGGGAGTGGGAGAGAGCAACGATGCAGTCCTAATCTAAGTTGTTAAATCCGTTTCTATTAAAAAGAACTGGGCTGTGCCCTACCCAACAACGCGAACAAGTCCATGGTGATGGAAGTGTTCAGGGACTGGGGGACGGTTGGTCGTCTCTTGAAGTACCTGGAGGCGACTAGGAGAAGGATATCCCGAATTATTAGTATAGTCAGTCAGTGGCTGCATTTTTAAGTGTCACGTAACCTGAAAATCATAAGTGATAATTATCGATTTTCTTCTTCCTCGGAAGAAAAGTACTCTAGGAATATGCAATCTTGCCACATTGTCCAGCTGAATCTTTAATTTGTTTTCGATTGAGATATCCCCCCTTTACATCTGTGCTATATCAACCTTTTTACACTTATGGTGGCTTTGAGGTACAAAGTTATTATATTCTGGCTTCCTCCGCATGGGGAGGAGAGTAAAGGAAACGGTGGCATGCATCCCGGTGCATCTTTGCAAACGAATCACGTTTGTCTTGATCACGCAGGGCGCATGACATTAGGCTAATCCTCATGCACTAGTTACTAAAAATAGCGGGGGGTGTATACTTCCGTGGCTTGCTAAAGAGGTCTGTGAGTGCCTGTCGGGCAACTGTAGAACCTCGAATTGAGCGATGATGCGTAATTCTGTACGGATGGCCGCTGTGCTTTTCCGCATAACACCCATGTGGGATCCATCCTACCTTCATTCTACTACTTACTGAGCATAGTATAAGTATCGATATTCAGTTATGACGTATTCAACATTGAGCATTGCGAGGAATGGTGTGCTTCGTAAGGTCTCCGTCCCTTGGGCTAGCGTCGCTTGATCTCCTAGAAGTACGTCGCTAGAAATGTTACATCTCCTGCCACATTGCTAACTTTCCCAGGCTTAGGAGCCTATTCCTTTGCCCGCTGTGTGCAAGAAAGTTGGTGGATGTTTGTTAGGATCTGAGGCATCTAGATTCTGCCACATATTTCCGCCTTGTCCCAAGCCCCCAGGACCTCCAGTTCTCCAAGAGAGGAAATCGATTACCCTTCTGAGAACGCTGTATGAGTACTGACGTTGATCAGCATCACGATTCATTTCATCTTTGACCTAGGGAGCGCTAGACATCTACCGACCACCAAGACAGGAAAGTCAATTGCCATATTCTAGCCCCACAGCCCCAGGACTTCAGTCGGCATCGTCAGAGAGCTGAACGCATCATAAATCTCACAACAGAACCCAACAAATACCTACATATTCACCCCCTAAGCTGTGGCTGGGCGTTGGGGAGCCCACAGCCCACCTAAATAGGAAATTATATTGCGTGTTTAAGAACTTCGCATACAAACAACCTCATAAAGATGCCTTCGACAAGTTCCCTCAGATTCTGGAATATCTAGTTGACAATTTTCCGACGCGCAGGTTTTTGATTCCCGATTATATTTGTAATACCCAGTAGCTGAGCAGATAACTTAATAGATGATATGTATTAGGGCTCAAATCATCTGCAGATGATTTGTGTGAGAGAAACTGGACGATGAAAAATGGAAAATTGGAGGCAAGTAACTAATGACATCTGACGGCTGCATTAGGATAGAGCAGGATGGTGAGATTTTAGCGCCGACGCGTCTAGGCTCCACACATTTCGGCAAGGGCTGAGTAGTGCGGTATTATAATCATAATCCCATATGTTTGGGCTTTCTTGTGCGTAGCATCCAATCACTGCCTCACGCCCTCGCTAAGTCTCTGTATCCATGTATTATTCGAACACAGGATTGGAGACATGAGAGCTAAGACCGGCATAACATAATCCATGTTCGTGGATTTTACGATCGGCCTTTTAGCTTTAAATATATAGTCATATAAGTTTAACAAACGTAAAATTGTAAGACTGCATCGGTAGTTTAGTGGTAAAATCAAGCATTCCCATGTAAATTTGCTTGGCCCCGGGTTCGATTCCCGGCCGTTGCACTTAATTTTTTGCGTATGATGTCTACTTTGCAAATTCCTTTTTACTCGCGAAGGTTATGTACATATTGCGTCAATCGGGCGGCGCTATAATTGGTGGCCTCCCGCTAGCACGACTAGACGCACCAACGCCAAGATTTTTAAAGATAACAATCCAAGCCGGATGGAGATACTGAATGATAGGATGCTTCGATTTGGTCAAAAGAATCGCTGTCTTTCGTGATTGGATGGGATATCTTGTTAATTGTAGAAAATATAAGATGGGGATGTTGCCCTATTGAAACAGGTTTTAGAATCGAGAAGGAATGTCTCTGATGTAGGGGAGGGTAAAACGTGGGTGTTACTTATATTGGGTGATTAGAATCAGAAGGCTGATAGGTAATGGGTAAGAGACGGAGAATTTCACACTTCGGCTTGAGTATCAAGATCTATCTTGAAAAGAGATAATATTGCAGTTGTGATATCTTTTCGCATATTACGACTTGTTTTCGTGCTTGGCGACACCATCTCTTCTCGTTGTTTCGCTTTTCTCACTCCACTATGCCACATTCATAACTCTTTGTCGTATTTTGAAATTCATATGCTTGTGTAGCATGGATTGGACTCTAGCAGCACAAACATCATTATATACCCCTCCATTATGATATAACAGTATTCATCTCAGTTTGACAGTGGTCAACAACTCTATTTCGATTTTCTGGAGCTATATACAGACCAAATTACCAAGATAAATTACTGAGCTATGTCATTTATACGCTACCGTCGAAGTCGCTAGATGCCATTGAGCTTAACTGAATGATATGCTCTCGGAAAGCAATATCGGCTAGATTCCGATAACATTCTAGATCGTTGACATGAACACGCCCCACCTATAATGAGAACCATATTTTACACCACATAAATAGATCCAGTTCTTAGATGCCGAAAACTCCAGAAACCTGAGAGTCAGTCACTAATCTTTTCTCTTTGACAAGCCTTACTAGCGTTTCATTCAGAGGACATTCAATGCCGAAGTTCCGTCCTTGTTTGACAATATAGGCGTTAATATAGTCGATTTCCGTCCTCCGACCGGCACGCATGTCTTGTCGCATGGAGCTGCTATTCTTCGCCGCCTTCGCCCCAACCTCAGATACATAGTTCTCCAAATTCTTCGGAGCGAATGTTCCCGCAACGATGGAGTCAGCATGAAGACACTTCAGTCGTAGCATAGCTTCAATAACGGCCGATATTTCCGCTATTAAGGGTCTCACGATGGCCCGAATCGGCGTTCTCCGAAAGACCTCGCCGTTGAGAACGTCAAAAATGGCACTCAGTGGATTTATGACAGCATTGACGCTCAGCTTCATCAATTGTATATGGAGAAGTTTCTCTGGAGAGACGAGTTCCGTGGAAAGATTTGGACAGTCGGAAAGCCATAGAGCGAGTGGATTGGTATTGGCTACTTTAGATTTAGGAGACTCGGAAGTAGATGAAGAAACTGAGCCTATTACCACATTGTATGGGCTAGCAAATACGCATGAAAACGGAGACGTGGCGTAAACACCATGGTTGACAATGCCTGCTAGGAAGTTCGGCCGAGAGGATGGCTGGCTGAAAACTTGTGACGTAACTTCGTCAATTGTACCTAGGGCCATTATGAGAACCAAAACTTAATTTTATCAGCCTAGGGAATTAGATTGGTACATACCTATTCCGTTTTGGACGAAAAGCACAGTCGAAGAAGGCCCTAATCGTTCCTTTAATGGTCGGATCGCATCGACAGTGCCATAAGTTTTAGTGGCGCAGATCAGGTTCCGAATTTCTCCTCGACCTTGCTGTACGTATTCGTAATTGAAACCACTTTGTCGGTCAGACTTGCCATCCCTAACGACTTCTATACAACGTCCAGCTTTATCCCAATCGTCGACAAGACTCTGGCGATGGAAGAGTAGAGTTATGGGTAGTTCAGGGTGACATTTTCGGAGAGAGTGCGCAAAAAGCTTTCCCAAGCTACCAATTCCTATGACGTGAATTGGGGATTGATACATAGATGTTTTTAGGGATAGGTGAATTGAAAAGGTCTCACTACACATGAGGGCTCGGATCCACGGTAGGGCGTGCCAAGACCCACTAAGCTAGAAAGAGAACGTAACAAAACGAAATGCAGAACAAGTTGGATGACGACTATCCTAACACATTATTTCGTGAAGGGCACAAGATACTCCGCGATACCCTTCGCCAATGCCCAGAGCTGGTTTCTAGTGTCTTTCCCAATCAGTAGCAACAGGCTCGATATTTTACGCAAATAGCTCCGCAAGACGTTTAAGCTAAGGAAAAACTCTAGGCTAGCTTTAAGAACCTTCTAGGGCGCCCGCTATCTACTCGATACTATCTATTCATTAATGGCTTAGACGAATGCGACGCCGATGATTTGGAAGCCGTAGATCTCCTCAATAGCCTCATTCCGTCCTCGGATATCGAAATTAATATAACAAGTCGTTTGGAATACCTTCCAGGATGCTTTTGGGACGACCCTAACCACATGCTTCGCATGCACGATTTGACACACCACATGTTTAGATACGCATCGGATAGTCCAGGAAATAATCCACTATATACTGGACTATAGTAGCTATTTGGATAGATTAACCCAACGCTACTTGAAGAGCTGGTGGAGAGATCCAATGGAATGTTTCTTTGGGTGACCCTTGTTGTTAAAGAGCTACGTTGCAGGTTGACAGACGGTGACATATTAGCCGATCTCTAGGATAGACTCCACACACTTCCCGCTGATCTAGGTGACTTCCCTTTTCATATACTATACTCCGTAGAAGATTTCCACAAGTGGTAATTAGCATGGGCCGTAGAAGTCTGTATTCATGCATTTGAGCCTCTTCATTTACTTTGCTATGCCCTTCACGACGAGGAAGACCCACATAATCTATAAATGATTGATTTCAGCAATTAGTCCACCAATTTTATAAAAACAAAAGGCTTATCAATGATTCGGCGACTGGACGTGCGCTGTCGAGTTCTAGTAGAAGCCCAGTCACCTGAACATTATTTAAGCCGAGAGTTCAGAGCAGAATTCCTTCACAGAACTCTCCGGTTTTTTTTTTTTTTTTAATATATATATATATATATATATAAAGGACTT